AAAAAATTGAAAAATTAGGGGGTGGAGAGATTGCTTAGCTTAGAGGTTAAAAGTACTTACTGCTCTTACAGAGGACCTGAGTTCAGTTCACCTGTAACTTCAGATCCAGAGTATCTGACACCTCTGGGCTCTGGGAGCACCTATACTCATGTGCACATACCCACACACAGAGAAACACATACACACACACACACACACACACACATAATTAAAAACAAATAAATCTAAAAAGAATTCCAAAGAATTTATGTGTATTTATATAAATTGTGTTTAGAACCTCTGTTTCATTTTCAGAATAACAATAGCTGTGTATAGGGTACAAGACTAATGTTGCACTATCGTTTACATTTTAATACCTTGTATTTGCAGATTTTGAGAATTTATCACACAAAGATGGCCCTGAAGCTACCGAGTCACTTTTGTCCACGGCAGATGAGAAAGAGGCCTGGGGTACCCAGAGCAATTCAACAGAGACCTCTTTTGCAGGTTCTTCTATGGCTTCAGGTACTTGAAACATGTACACACTTTGTATATGCTAATTATTCCCTCTAGAAAAATCTATTGGTACATTTAAGACATCAAGAGCTATGAAACACAGGGGGATTTGGACACTGGAGCCTGTGAGTTTTTATTAAAATAATATTTTAGAGAATATTAAATTAAAACTATTCCTCTTAAACTTAAATTTTTAAATCATTGTATTATTGCTCTTAAGAATATGAACATATCTGCTTCTAATTTCACTTTCTAGGAAATTTGTGGTCATTCTAATATGCTAACAAACGTGTGTGCTTCTATTCCATGGGGTTAAATTAATCCCCAACACCACTAATTAAATACAGCCACTGGCCTTTCCCCTACTTTACAGTTTGGCAGAGCTCAGGGAAGTTCAACTGGACTACAGGCACTAAAAGCAAGGCTGTTTTAAGAAGGAAGACAAACTGATAGTAAAGTAGGGCTGGTTTGAATTGCAGAAGCAATTGGTAAATGCGGTAAGTTCTCCAACTCTGTGTCTGCCTCTGGTTATGGAAACAACCCTGCAAGAAGCAAACTAATTTAATTATGCTCTTCTTCAATATGCTCCTAATAAAAGAATCCTCTTCTTCCTTTGTTAACGGGCCATGGTCTTTTTTCAGAAGAAATAGTTGCTTAAAGTCTGTGGAGAGTTAGTAATGAAACCAGAAGCTTCTGGGAAAGGGGGAAAAAGACCCGGTTTGTAGCATTTGTCACATCTGTGGTATCAATATTTGCCCAAGCACTCATTTTAGGACTTCTTCAACATAAGTCACTGGACAGAGTTGGGAAGATATACAGTAGCACACCATTGCCTAGCATTTCCACCACAGGGAAAGGACAGGGAGATGGAGAGTGTAGGGGAATCCAGAAAGAGGACTGGCAAGTGCTCATCTTATTTACTGCCTTTGGAAATCTGTTGAATTGTGTATTCACACAATTTAACTTTTAAAAATGGCTATGTTTAACAACTGGCCCACAGAATTCCTAAAAATGTTGCTCTTGGCCCTTATGCCCTGGAATTAGCCAACTCAGCGCAGTACTCCTAGTGTGCCAGAGCTATTTAAAGAAGCAATGCAGCTGCATCGCACAAAAATTGGAATGCACAGGGACACACAACAGTCACCAGTATTCCCACAGTATGGATGCTTTGCTTAACCTTTAAAATGTCTCCCCCTAGTCTTTCTGCATACCTGTGTGCATGAAGCTGTCATTTCTCCTGTGCTCATTTTAGGCATTGTTCTATAGAATATTTTCTATTGATTGAATAATAGCACCATTTGGATGCAATTAAACAAGTGCTGACATTCAGTATATTTCCAAATTACTACTTCATGAATAATGTCTTCAGAGCCCTCTGGACTTGTGTCACAGTTTGCTTATTAAAAAAATATATAATTGGGATTTCTGGGTCAAATGATTTATACAATTTTAACACATTTGATACTTAGTGTCAAATTTCACTGTGGGAATTTATACCAATTTACATCTGCTCTTACGTTTTAAGGAGCGCCCAGTTCCCTGAAATTCCTTCCAGAGGAATGGGTGGTATAATTTCCAGTCTTTTCCATTTCTGTTTCAGTAAAAATGATATTTTAATATTTGAATTATTTGAACTTGAGTTTTCTGATTTGTACTAAAAATCTTTTTCCAAGCTCATTCTCTTTGTTCTGTTTTTCAATACATCTTACTTTTTCTATTAGGATATTTATATTTTTCCTCCAAGTTTATATTGACTATGTAGATATATAGAGTATCAGTCTCATAAATAATAAAATTTTAAATGGTTTTCTTGCTTTTTACCCTGTTCATAGTATTTGGTTTAGAAGAAAAATGTAGTTATTAATGTAGATTAATTATGCAAATTAATGGAATTCATTGTATGAATTAATTATGTAAATTAATGGGTTTCATTTCTACATATGTAACGTTGTGTATTTTTTCCACACTTTCCAGTCCTTAGAGCCTTTTTCTACTCTCAGGGCCTCTAAAATTTTTCTAGTTTCCACCTATGGCAGAGAACATGATACTTGACAATACTTGTATTGTCATAATATTTTGTTTTGTTTTTGTAAATTACAATGCTTTTGAGGCTTGAACAATCAAATGAACCACCCAGTGGAGGGTGGAGGGGTCTTTTAAATTTTTATGTATTTATTTATTTTTAGTTTATGTGTATGAGCATTTGCTTGTATGTAAATGCACCCATGTCACACAGCGTCCACAGGGACTGGAAAAGGGTGTTGGATTCTCTGGAGTTGAAGTTACTGATGGTAGCCAGCTGTCATGTGGGTTCTGGGAATCGAACCCAGGTCTTCTGGGAGAGTAGCTAGTGGTCTTAAAGGCTGAGTCGCCTCTCCAGCCCTGTGGAGGGGTCTTTCTGAAATATAGACTGGAGCCTGAAATTCTGCTTTTTCTCACAGGCTCATAGCTGCTGCAGCTGCCAGTTGTGGGTCACACAGCTAGAAGGAAGCCTTTATCTTGTTGATTAGTGAACCGTTTACACCTAAATTCTACAGGGCTTTGTCTTCTCTGTTGAAGTAAATACCTGTGCTTTTCTTCAGAAATCATGACTCTATAGGAAAACCAAAATTCACTCCAAATGTGAGATTGTTATGATTTTCTAAACTTTCTTTGGGCCTGCTTGATCTGCCTGTAGGCTGCTAGCCTTTTAGAAATCCACACTGGAAAGAACTGAAGTCTGAGCTGAGGTTGAGAAATGACCCTGCATCTCAAAGGAGTTTTTCATCCAGAAAAGGTACATCCACTCAACTTGCAACTACCTAGTTTGAGTTTCAAAATGGTCAAAATTAAAGGCAAGAGTTTAATTTCTTTGTTCTTTTTTGATACAAGGATTTTTTTTTTTTTTAAGTTCAGCAAGTACCTTGTGAAAAAATGTGGGTTGTAATAATGGTCTTAGGGGATTTAAAAGGGTAGGGGTTTGTTTTGCTTCTCAGCTTGTTTTTATTTTTACTTCTTGATATCCTCACCTTCCTCCCTCCCTTTCATTTTGACTTTTCTGCCTCTCTTCCTTTAATTTCTTTTACTTAAGAAATCCTTAACTTCCTGAATGTACTACAGCCATCATGGCCAATGCTGGGCAGACAGTACAGAACACAACAGAACAAGCCTCAGCCCTTGTGGGCACTTCCCATTGTGATGCTGGCCACATAGCACTCACCTTAGGGCTACACTTGCAGAAAGCAGAACCAAAGGCAAGTGCAGCATATTAAAATATGTGCCAGTCTGAAGAGTACGTGTAAGCTAGACAGGCATGGAAGGAGGCCAGCCAACTCACAGGGTCTTCTGGATCTGGGCTCTGCGGGAGCCTTATGTGCCTGCACTCCCAGCCTGCATTTGTGAATAGGTTAGTCCAATCTATTCTGACCCTTTCCAAGGCAGTAACAAACAGTTGCTTGTTTATGAAGATGAAATACCTTGGCACTAGACACTACTGCTGATAAATGACATGGATCATCCCAAGTATCTGCTCATTTTCTTGATCTTAGGAAGCAAGGATTCCTTATTTTAAAAATGTGAAGTGCCATTAGCCCAGAGAAGTTACTGGAATTTTTTTGTTCTTTGTTTTTTTTTTTTTTTTTTTTTTTTTTTTTTTTTTTTTTTTTTTGTGGTACTGAGGTTTAAATTTATGGCCTCTTACATGCTGGGTAAGTGCTCTACCACTGAGCTATACACCACATCCATAGAGTTATTTTACTTCAGTCTTTGTTGCAAACTTTAATAGAGAAGGATTTAGCCTACCTAGTCATTCTTAGAATTGATAAGCAAAATAATATGAAAGTATTCCATAATTTCTAACATGTATTTGCATAATGGTTTATGCATCTTACTGGATATTTATTTTGTGTTCCAGTATGTTGGATTAATATTTCAAATAATTACCAAAGTAACATTAAAAGAATCTTGCTACTTACACAGCACACATTCTGTAAACATGAACTTTTTATGTCCAGAAAGAAAAGATAATGAGGACTCATTTTAGGTCGAGATCTTTTAATTATCATTTCTGAACCAGTTTGTCTATTTTTCAGTGCACAGTGGTCTTGCTGCATCCAAACACTATCAAAACTATATTGTATTAACAGGTGCTACTTTTTAATCAGTTTGCTCCTTCTACATCTCACCAGTCAGCTACAGTGTCTTACTCTGAAACCAGTTAAAATGTCATCTCTCCTTCCTAAGGGTTATATAATAGAATTCTCTACTGGAAGGTTCTAGGGAGCAATTTTCCCTTCTCTTTGCACTTGAGGTTGACATTTCTTTTCCCTTTCTGGATAGCACTAACTAGATGAAAGAGAGAGAGAGAGAAAGAGAGAGAGAGAGAGAGAGAGAGAGAGAGAGAGAGAGAGAGACCCAAGTACAAGAGTATTTGGGGAACACAAATTGGATTCTACAGGCTTAAAAAAAAGAGTAAGTGGGGGATGCAATATCCAAGAAGAGATGGGGGAGAATTTCATAACAATATTAACAAAAAAGATAAGAAGTTTGGAAGGGGATGTGTTGAGAGGGATGTAGGTTATATGGTGAGAAGAGCGAGAAAGGAGGGGTAAATATGATCATATTTCACTGTATAGGTGCATGAAATTCTCAAGAGTAAAGAACATTTTTTTTAAAAGAGTGATGATATCCTCCCCAAATGTGGTTGGTAATTAACCCAAAGTTTTTTTTTTTATTTGCTCTTTTCCAAAATGACACGATAACAATCACACATTTTATAGGCCACTAATATGATTGTAATGATAGATACAATACTTTTGTTTCTGAAGCCACTGGTCATTTTAGAACAAAAAAGTCAGAAAACTCTGGTGTTTCTTTAGACCACATCTTCCTTGAAAACATAAAAGGGACATTAAACTCATTGTATAGATTATTTTAATTCTGCGCATTTACAAAAAAAAGTGTACAGTCATTTAAAAATATCTTTTGCTTTGTCAAAACAAGTGGGTAGTTACTTTAAACTGGAGCTTTTT